TCCATCCTGGAATTGGAGAGATTTCATCTCACTTCCTGCTGTGTGTTCATAACAGGAGGTAAAGGAAATTGTCTGCAATAGGAAATGGAAAGAAAAAAAAAAAAAAAACAGTTTTTGGCACATTTTAATGAGAAGCTGACAGTGTGCAGTGTAAGTCACTTCAGTACAGGAAAGGAGCGGGTACAACTAGACAAGACTGAAGACAAGGACGGGGTTCAGATTTAAGGTGAGCTCACGTGCCAGAGACTTCACAGATAATCTATTGATAATAATATGTCCGAACCCTGATACACCAAGCTCCATTTCTGCAAATAAACCAAGGCTGGCTGAAAACGCCATCAATAGCCACAGATTGTTCACTCACCGTTTTTGAATCGGACCTTTGAATTTCGGGTCATATTTAGCCGGTTCACCTACAAGAACAAGAAACACACATGAACACACTTGAAGCACAAATAATCTATTTATTCCTGGAGAAAGGACTTTCTTGTCCAACCAATCAGGAAATTACAAGTAGAAAATTGATGTGATGTTAGCCTAGTAAAATTTTCTTCCGGCAGAGGTCTGAATCTCATGTTTGTGATCCTATTATACATGTAGTCATTGTATGTCTAATCGCCAGAGTGCCCCCTTTCATTAGGCCTCCCCATCAGACTTCCCCCTTTCATTAGGCCTCCCCATCAGAGTGTCCCCTTTCATTAGGCCTCCCCATCAGAGTGCCCCCTTTCATTAGGCCTCCCCATCAGAGTGCCCCCTTTCATTAGGCCTCCCCATCAGAGTGCCCCCTTTCATTAGGTGTTCTGAACAGAGTGCCCCCTTTACATTGGGTTTCCCCATCAGCGTGCCCCCTTACATCAGTACAATAAACATTCGAGCCCATCGCACTCCTGAAGAGTTAAAAAAAAATCAAGGATATAAGGTGGGTGCTAAAGTGACAGCGCATGCCTCCGCAAGATAAGTCCAAGTAAAGAGAAGTCACTAGCACTCCAGCGTGCATTATAGTCAATGTTTATTTGCTGCTATAGTGTCACATCACAGGCGACGTTTTGGAAACCACAAGGTCCCTTCCTCAGGCAAAACAATGGCACTCTGTTTTGCCTGAGGAAGGGACCTTGTGGTTATCTGACCACAAGGTGTGACACTATAGCAGGTCAATAAACATTGACTATAATGCACGCTGGAGTGCTAGTGACTTCTCTTTACTTGCCCTTACATCAGCAATCCCCCCTTATATCAGGTGTCCCCGTCAGAGTACCCCTTTATATTGGGTGTCCCCATCAGCGTGCGCCTTTACATTGGGTGTCCCCATCAGAGTGCCCCTTTACATTGGGTGTCCCCATCAGAGTGCCCCTTTACATTGGGTGTCCCCATCAGAGTGCCCCTTTACATTGGGTGTCCCCATCAGAGTGCTCCCTTAGATTAGTTGCCTTTATAAGTTGTCCTCTTACAGGTGTTCCCAAATTCAGAGCTGCATTCGTTTGTTTCAGAGTTCATCTTTAATCCATATGTGTATACTGTATATATATATAAAGTACAATATTTACAATATGTAATCATTGATTCCTCCCCACTCCCAGCACACAGTCACTGTATGTTCTCTTCCTGGTCTCAGGTTATCAGTAACTGACGTGTTAATTGCAGGATATTTACAGTCTTATCTCTGAATTATGAGGGAATTACACACTTAACCTTGAAGAGTTGCTAACAACCCTGACTGGTCATGCCTCCGCCCCCTCCCCC